AAGTGCGCCGTCATTGTCGTGGCGTCGTGGAAGGCAAAAGAATTCTTTTCTGATCTGCGTCACACTCCTTGAAGCCTTTTCGGAACAAATTATAAAATGCCAAAAGGTGAAACGTACTCCAACCCGAGTGTTGGCTACATGTTATGCAAATCATATTTGTTTGCTGCGTGAAAGGATAATCCAAACTTTGTACAACTTTGCAAATACAAGGACCATGCTTTTAATTATTGCCGCCTCAAGCTGTTGTATGTATTACGTAATCTTCACTGTGTAAATATTAGGAATGCACCCTAGCATGCTCGTGAAGTTCATAAAGACCCGCATTCAATGAGGATGTAGCTCAGCGCAAGTCGAGCGTTTGAACTTTACTCCAATTTAATTTTATGAATGGCACGCCAATGCCACTTAGAGAAAACTGGAAGTTCCCCAGTCAATAGTTTTGTGATAATTGCGTTCGATTTAGTTTGATGATTTGTTGAGTTGACATCCAGTGTTTTTTTTTTCCTCATTCAATGACTTGGCAAATGTTACGGCCATCCGAACGGAACCAAATTGCGCAATTCGGTATGTATCGTTGCTCACAATGAGCTGCAATCAGTGCATCATTGAAGCCCGCATCTCCCCGAGTGGAGAAGGTTTGTGAGTGTTTGCGTTTTACTGGTCGTAAGCTTTTTTCTTTTTTCTTTTTTTTTGTCATCAAATTTTGAACGTGAAAAAATGCTCGCCACTGTAGGGCGTCACGGCATGTCCGAGGTCGATTCAAGGTTGCGCTAAAATCAAACCAGTGAGTCATGAGGTCAGTTCTGAGGACAAGATCAGTTGGCGTGCGTTTGTCATGCAACCTGTTTCCGTCGAAGTCTCATTTTGATGTCTAGTCGGTTCACATTGAAAGTCTTGTGGCCTCCGTCTGTATTGTGAAGTTTTTTTTTTTTGGGGGAAACAGAGAGCCTCCTTGATGAAGACTATGACTAACAGTCTTGATTAGCCATGAGTCTGTGGATTCGTTCCTAAGCACTTTTTTAAAACGCCCATCACAAGGTCACTTTTTTTTTTTTTTCAAACAACACTGACAACTAAAAGACAGCCATTGTGTGTAAGGTTTATGGGGTTTTTCAAGTCCATTTTTATAGTCGTTTTTAAATATGTATATTTTTCGACTAACGGCACGAGGCTCTCTGAGAATAATTGTCTCGATTCTTGTCGCAAGCTGCTTTCCTGGAAATCAATTTAAGCCAGCAGCTGTTTGACACGTGAGTATGTCCAATAAAGGCCTCGCCGCCTGTTTTTGATTTGAAGATGAAGTGATTGAGCGGCAGTCTCAGTAGTCTTAAATGCGGACCTACCCTGTGGCTGATGGGGGGGATGTTTGTATTTAACCCAGAGAGCAGGAAAGAATCGACTTAATGGACGCAGTCTGTTCAGCTCGGTAAAAGGTGAGACAGATGAGGGGGTCATAAATGATTAAGGATGCGATCACACACATCGGTGTGTAGTTCAATACTCGGTACTGGACCAAAAAGTTTTTTTTTGAATTTGTTTTTCGGTTCTGGTTCTTTTAGCACTCACATTGGCATTTTATTTTTATTTATTTTTTTGCAATCAGAGTCAAGACTGACATGGCAAACTGTTACAGTGTTGTTATTTCAGCACTTTTTTTTTTTTTTTTTTTTTTGTGAGGACTGAACCAAATCGCACCAGGGTGCAAGGGTGAGCAAACACGCCGCACTATCATTTGGTTTAACTGAGCTGGACTGAATGTGGTCGAGCAGTTGGCACTTCTGCCTCAAAATTCTGAGGTTTGGGATTTGGGTCCTGACTTTATGTGCAGTCCCTGGTACTCTGTCTTTCCTCCTACATTCCCCAAATCCTGCACGCTCATTGAAAAACTCTGAATTGTGTGAGTAGGTGCGGGTGGTTGATTGACTACATTACATGCCCTGCGATTGTCATGAGAGTTGAAGTGTTTCAAAAAAGGTCGTGCTTCCTCCACTATTGGAACGCATGCATGCATGAGTGTGAGCACGTCTTCACAACAGGCGGGCCGGGCGTTGAGGATGACCATGGGAACAGTGGCGTCTGAGCCCCCGCCCCCAGAGGGATCCAGCAAGAGGAAGTGTGTGTAATGTGTGCGCATGTTGAGTCACTCGTTGCTGAGTCATCCCTGGGCTGGCCATGCAGATAGAAAGAGCCTTCTTGGGGGGCCAGCTGCAGGGGCTCGAAGGGAGCGCGCACTGAGCATGCTCTGTAGAGTACAGGAAGGGAATTGGTAGTTGTGACAGGACTCCACTAGGAACTGTGGTGATGCAATATTTCATGATGCCAAGTTTTTTTCTTTTTCCCACATTGGTATGTTTGATTTTGTGAGGGGTGGGGGGGGGGGGAGAAAAAAAATCCCAAGTCAGCTGTAAGTTTGGTGCGCGACACTATATGCAGAAGTTGCCGCCGTCGAATGGCGTCACTGGGGACATGGAGAGAGATTTGGTCGGGAGATAATTTGTCATGTTGGAGCATGTTTTTGCTGAACACAAAGAAGCACCCACCTTCTATTTCTTGTTTTTTTTTTTTTTTTTTTTTTTTTTTGGGGTGGTCTTTTGGGTTACTGAGCGTCCCCTCCACCCCTGCCACCTCGACAAAGACACGCATACCCGCATTTTAACATATTCACAAAAATACGCACATACGGTCATGCTTCCTGTTTGTAGAAAAGATCCTTCACTGCTGCATGGGAGGAAGCTGGTATGTATTGTAGGTTCACGCTTACTCTTGTTTTAGTCGTCAGTAGGCACAGACGTTGTGAACAAAACGCAATGTGTGTCTTTTCCTCTCTTTAAATCGTCGAATGACATCATGCTACCAGATAGAACGTGACTTCCAATTTGATCTTTTGCTTATTTTATTTGCTGCTTTTACTCTGTTTCATTGCTCCCTCGGACTGAGCTTCCACTCATAGATAGTTATGCAGACGTGGACTTATTCTCACCGGCGGACAAGAGCAAACTGTTTGAAGAGGTGATGGACAGGATCTGAATTTCCTTTTGGGTGGAAGGACTACAAACAGTTTCTTTGTTGAGATAATCGTTTGATTGGTGAAACCACGGCACCATGCCTTTGTAATTATCAGAAGAGTTGCTTGGTATCGGCTGTAGCTATTTTTTTTCTGCCCAACTGGAAATATGACCCTATGGCATCCCTGGCTTTAAAGAAAGTTTGAAGGGAAAAAAATTTAGTTTAACATCACAAAATAAATACTGTGGTATTGGGTAGGGGTGGGGGTGCGGGGTTACTATGTGCGTTCACAGTTGCATGCTTGAGTCTGCTTGAATGCAGTTCAGGGTGATTTCATCCCATACAAAGACTTCTAAGTAAGAGGGTCCAAATGAAATGGGCATGGTGAAAAAGTTTTTTTTTTTTTTTTAACCTCAATCCACTTCAACGAGCAAATGCCCCAATCATCGTTGACCTTTGAACCGCATTACGACAGGTAGCGATCTGATGCAAGCTTACTCGGCATGTCATCAGTTTAGCATGTATGCAGTTAACATGTGCGCGGCAAATGATTACCAACACCTCTTGGTCACACATTCTGTCTCTACAGTTTCTGATAGGCCATTCTTGTCAAGGCACAGTTTGTTTTACAATGAAAATTGGAATAACATTGGAGGGATAAGATGGGGTCAGCAGAGCTGCTAAATGTTACGGATTGTCGTTATTTTGTTAGGGAAACCGCTGCGCTCGAATGCTGATTCTTGGAAGTACTACAAAAAAAAAAAAAAAAAATCACCGTCCAACATTAACACGGCACTGTGTCAGGCCACGAAGACGCTGCCTAGTACGCGTTTCTTGATGTGGCTAAACGCAAGTTAACTCTGCGTCTGGTGTCGACTCAGCACAAGTCCCTCATCCTCGCCTCAGTGGCAATGTATAAGCTACCCCGTCCGACTAGTTTCGTCATCACAAAACGAGTACGGGGGGAGACGGTGAAGGCATGCTAATTAGTATGCCATCATGTCAGACATGTAATCGGTGAAACACCGTAATAAGTGACTCGGTGATGCAACCCGAGAGGATGGCCTTATGTAGTTAAAACAAGTCTCATAAATAATTCCCCCTGACAACCTTCACGATCGACTTGGGACCAGTCCACGGACTACCGGTCGATTGCACCCCTGTTTTCGTTCATTTAGAATAAACCCCCCTTATTGGACCGTGATCCAAGTAAAGTGCTCAAGAATTGATTTAGAAACAAAGAAAGTGGAACTTGCATATATCTGGTGCACACATCAGGGGTGCTGACAAAGCACTTCATCCATAGTGAAAGGTGTGCGGGGGGCGGGGGGGTGGGGGGGGGGGATTGCGCCTGTAAATAGGTCGCGTGTTCACACCCGAGCACACAGATGGCGGAGCCGGCAGTGTGGTTGATTGAGAAATTTTCCAGCCATACTTCCTTAGTCAGACCTCATTCACTGTCTGTCACAATGACTTATGACTGTGTTCATTCATTTCACACACTTGACCTTCTGCAATCGGTGCGGGGGGAATGAGAACAGACTCAGTCGTGTTAATTGCTTCCACTCCTTTCTCCTTCTCCTCATTTTTCGCTCTTTAAGTGGTTCGTCTCCTGACCGGAGAGATTTCCTCAAGTCCTTCTGCTCATGATTCTGTTGACTCCAAGACTGCGCGGGAGGCAGTGTCTCTTTCACTGACTGGACTTTTTTTTTTTTCCAGTCTTGTGTAAGATCATTTGTAACGTTTGGGATAGACTGTAAATAAAATCCGACTCTGGACGTTCCCTCACGTCGTTTGAAATATTTGACGAAATACCGGATACTCTCATGATGATCTCAATTGACTCCTAATTACAATTCCACTTCTCTCCGTTTTGTAACTGCCGCCCATCCGTCTCTTCATCCCCTTCCCTATTCGATGCATTCACTTTTGAACGTTTCGTTATCTTGCCATTCAATATTTATCGAGTTCCTTCTGTGTTTGCTTCTCTGCAGTGATTCTCAGCCGGTCTGGTCACTGCAATGAATGGTAACACATTCCAGCCAGCCAGCACCACCGCGACAGTAGGAGGCGGCCAAGGGGTGGCAGCGCTCCCGCGAGGCTGGAGGGAGTTCTGCGAGCTTCACGCCATCGCCACAGCGCGGCAACTCGCGGGACACTACCGGAGCTTCGCCAGGGAGCGCCCCCAGCATGACGTCCCCCCGCCGGAGACCTTTTCCAAGCAGTTCACTGACCTCTTCCAGCAGCATTTTTGCTGCGAGGTCGACAAGGATGGCGCGCCTCTCCAGCAGAGCACCTGCTCCACCGCTTCCGGCATCACCCCGGCGGTTCCTCCTCCGGTTCCGTCGCAGACCGTGATCGGTCGATTACGACTCGCCGCTTTGTCCGGGGTGCAGGACTACCGGGAGGCGGGCCGACAAACCGGAGGAGCCGCCCTCTTTACCGTGGTGTCGCCAAAAGTGGAGCCGGTGGTGGTGAGCCGGGAGCAAGAGCGGCCTCTGCGATGCGCGGCGGGGAACCCCCGTTCAGGGAACCCGGTGCTGCTCAGGGGCTTGGGCTTGGCCCGTTCATTAGGCAGCGGGTCACTGTTGTTCCGTAGCCGTAGTAACGAGGAGCTATCTGGTACAGCTAGTCGACAGATATCTGACTCTTCAGCTTCCGGTCCAGCGCATGCCGATGTCACACACTTCTCAGTTAGTCAGATTCGGCAGTCTGTCAGACGACTTTTTAAGAAAGGGCCTCTTCCCAGGCCGCCCTCGACACAGGACCTGTCCGCCAACAACCCCACCCACTCCCTCACCGGCCCCGCAAGCAGCGCGCCCTGCACGCCTGAGCAAACATCTTCTTCCTCACAACCTCCCACTTCTCCCAACTCTGAAACGACATCGACGGCGGCGTCGCCGTTCTCTGGAGTCGCCTTCCACTTCCTGGATCGTTTCCGTTGGTTACGCGGCGGGAGCATGAGGCAGAGGAGGTCGGAGGTCAGCAGCTGCTGTAAAGAGGGCCAGCTGAGGTACTTGCTGGTGGACGACACCATCTCAGACTCTTTGCCGCGATGGCAGCGCTGCCGCCTGCTGGTCAGGAGGATCAGGGATGCCCAAGGCGGAGGAGGCGAAGGCTACCAGTTGGAGCTTTATGATCCTCCAAAGGTACAAACACACACAAACGCACGTAAACTAACGTATTTATTGTCTCATACCACGTTGGCACTTAGCACAGTAGAATCCAAACGTGCAAGGATCTAATTGGGAGATTCAAAACCCAGAAAAAGTTGATGTTATTTTGTCTATGTCATTATACTAGGCGGAAACGACAGACACTACTTTCTAATATAACAAAGCAAAAGCTCTCGCACAACTCGCAGGGGGGCACAAGTCATTTCCTGCATCCAGTTGTTTTCGTCTCGGGGTTTCCCCCCTCCATTTTTAAATCATCTCTCTTTTCCCTCTGTTTGTTTTCATAAGATCAAATAAAATAAGAGTGTCGCTGACTTTTGCCTCGTGACCAAACAAGAGCAGAGCTATTTTGGCATTTCTGTTGGTATCTAGTTTTCTCATTGGCCTTCAGTAACCGAGTTAGCATTTCCAACTACAGTACACCCACTCGGCGCTCTGTGATGTCGAACAAGCCGTGAAATTCACCAATCGGAATTCAGTGGAACTTAAGAGTTCTGTGATGCTGGTTCGAATTCTTCTTGGTCCGTTTGTTCTAATTCCCATGAGAAATAATGCTCAGGTTTTTTTCCCCTGGTGCTATGTCACCATCATTAAAAAGCAAGTGCCTATTTGAAGTCATATTTTAACATTCTGCACGGCCACACCAAGTATGTGTCCCACGGAAAATGTATGATCGATCCAATGTTTCCAATTATACACAATGAGCATTTGTAGGTTCCCGCCCCCTGCTTTAGATATTCACAGAGCTGAAGTCTCTCATGATATATGGGGACTTACTCACACATTATGCCAATTTTTTTTTTTTTGGGGGGGGGGGCGTGGGGGGACATTCCACTTTTGATATTCTCCTGTATTGTATTCAAAATTCACTGTGTGCACTGTGTTCAATGCTACACTCCCCAGTTTACTCCATAATGTAGTTCACACAATGTCGATAAAGATGCTAAGAGGAAACAGAGTGACTATAATAGTTAACACGTTTGCCCTCCTGTCACCGATTACTGTCGCACGGCCCCCTCAGTATCCACATGTTGGCTATCGTTAAACACGAACCGGCATTTCACCACTTTGGCTCCTCTGCTATGTGATGAATTCAAAGAATACGCACAAATTCATGTCCTCTTGCGCTGTGGTGAGTAGGTACACCTCCCACGCTGCTTCCTGTTTGTTATGGGGCTCACTTTCGCCACATGCTATCGAGTGTTCAACACGTGCCTCCGTTCGGACTCGACGACGAAACTCGCGTTCATGTGTCGGCTTTTTGGCTGAAGAAACAAGCTTGAGGTCGCACACCTTGAAAATGGCGCAGCACGGTCACAGCAGCATCCCTTTTTTTATTATTTTTTGTCTTTCTTTCTTTCTTTTCTCATGCACGAGCTTGTGCTCGGCTCCCAGCGCCATGATAGAAAACACTGCAATATTTCAAGTCGGTCCAGCTGCGAGGCGGCCCGTGTTTGCACGCCCAGTCCCCCAGCTCCCCCCGAACCAGTAATCAAAGCGGCTTACTTAACTGTTGTCCCAGCCCACAGCCATCTGTAAGGTCCCTGCAAACAGAGCCGCGTCTCGCCTCTGAGTGGGTGCAAGTGTGTATTCTGGCCGGCGCGCTTAAGCTAGGTCAGTGAGAGAGATGTGTGCGCGCTTGGTAGCGTTTTTATATTTAGAAGCCCTCAACTTCTCTGCCAGCTGCGAGCCCAACCGCATGCTTGAAGTAATTGACTTAATGATAGAGCCCGAGCCACGCGTGCCCGCGCATACGTGTACGTTTGTGCACCGCGGCGAAAGGCCCTGGCAGGATCTTGTGCCTGCTTGACTGCGACGCCAAATTCATCAGGGATCTCTCACTTTGTGTTTGTGCACACGCGTGTGGAATCTTGGCAAGGCCGAGCGCAAAGGGCCCCGAGAATGGCCTTAAAAGGAAGGAGAGCTGTTCGCTATCATGCGCGCAATTTAAGGCTCATGTGAGGAAAATGTGTTTCAACTTTTCAAACTTGAGTTGATTAAAAAAAAAAAAAACAAAAAAAAAAAAAACAATAAAACTTTTGAGGACTTTCCCTTGTATGAGCACGAAGACGGCAATAATTACAACGTCCGGTGTTCGTGACTTGTGTTTATATCTCTGCTCTGTGTCTTTTGTGCGAAACGGTATTATCAGTAAACTCATTTAGCTAAAAGAGGAAGCTGCTTGGGAACCGATAATGTCGTTCCAGCCGTGACGCAGCTGCAACAAGTCCAGAGAATAATCAGACAATTTAATAATCCTACCAGATGATCTGTCTGATTACACAGCCTGCGATGACAATGGGCTTCAAGTGCCAATGCGACAGTGAATAAAAAAGCAAATGCGGTCTTTCCGAGCGCATCAAGGGTGTTTTTGTCATTGTAGGCAAAACCGAAGGCTGTTTCACTTCTGCATTGTCTTAGATTGAAGGCCAGATAATGGAACGGTGCATTGTGTAATGCAAGTCTGTGGCCTCAACATTATTTACATCGGTTTCCTGTAGAGGGGTGGGGCAAAAAAAAAAAAAAGGACAATTTTATTAGTACAAAAGTCAAAACGACACTATCATGAATGTATTAGTTGTTTAAGTAACATTTTAATATTCTTCACAATAAAACATGACAGACAGAGTGAAGATGTTCACCGCCCAAACACCAAGCGCAACTGACCTCATTGTGTTTCTTTTTCTTGTATTATTATCATCCGGGCAGCACAGTGGAAGGGTGGTTAGCACATCTGCCTCACATTTCTGAGGTTTGAATCTTGGTTTCGGCCTGCCTGTGTGCCATTTGCATGTTCTCCCCATGTTTGCATGTTTTTTCCTCCCTGGACTTCCGCTTCCTCCCACATTCCAAGAACATTCATGTTTGGGGTTTTGAAAACTCTAAATTGTCCAAAGGTGTGAATGTGAGTGTGACTGGTAGATCGTCGATCTGCCCTGTGATTGGCCGGCGACCACTGGACTTGGAGAAGGCATTTGATTGTCTCGATCGGGGAGTCCTGTGGGATGTGCTGAAGGAGTGTAGGTTATTGGTGCCCCCATGTATGGGTTGTACAGTCTCCATACAACCGGTCGGTGTCCGAATTCGGTCCACATTATTGCCGGAATGTCGGATTCATTTCCAGTGTGCGTTGAACTCCAAGGCTGCCCTTTGTCACAAATTCTGTTCATGGACAACATTTCTAAGCACAGCCAAGCCATGGATCCGGTTTGGCGGCCTCGGTTCTGTATCTGCAGTTTGCAGCCGAGTGTGAACGGTTGGCATGAGAATCCCTTCCTCCAAATATGAGACCACCGTGGAGGATTTCAAGTATTTTAGGGTCCTGTTCAAGAGCGAGGGGAAAAATGGCGCGGGGCATGGACAGGCGGATGTCATGTGGATTGTATCGGTCTATGGTGAAGAAAGGAGCTTAGCCGAAAGGCGAAAGTGCTCAATTTGCGAGTCGAGCTAAATTCCAACCCTCACCTATGGTCACGAGAAGGTCGCTGGACACACTCGAGCAACTCTCGGTATCTCCTGGTTGGCCCGGGAACGGCTTGGGATACCTCAGGAAGTGCCGGATGAAGTCTGGGCTTCCCTTCCCTTTACATTTTCCTGTGACAAAAAAAAAAAAAAAAAAAAAATTTTTATGAGATTAATCCCGCCGTTCATTTT